GTTCGCAAAGGGTGCGCATTGTGAAGAGGGCGCCACCGAATTTTGAGGACACTTTTTTAATTGGCTCAAAGAGAGAAGTGGTCCCTCTTGTTATGTGGACTCTTTGGTCTAGTCTGCCTTTTCTTTGCTGTAGCCAGGTTCGAGAGTCAGCTCCGTCCTATGTTGTGCCTCTGGGATTTCCCGTTTGGCTCGTTCCTTTCGGATATGAACTTTGAACTTGGAGGTCCCGCCTCTTAAAGAACCTAATCGTGTTGATAGGGGCGTCAAACCTATACCATTTCACCATATCATTTTGCTGTAACTTTTCTGAGCATGTTCGTTACTGAACCAAGCCTGAGTGTCCCAGCTTTTCTGTATAATCCAGTGGTCTGGATAATGTTATTATCAGATGGCCTGATATCGCCTCAGAAGTATAAGTACTCAAGTGTACTAACTACCTGCCTAACTAACTAACTAACTAACTAACTAACTAACTAACTAACTAACTAACTAACTAACTAACTAACTAAGTAAGTAAAACAAGTAACAAAGTATGCAATTGACTCCAAAGAATGTTCTTTTTTTTAAAGTTTGGAATTAAAGAAGGGAGGGGATGGGTATAAAATCCATTTACTGGGTATAAAATCCATTTACTGTTCGGCAAAATCCAAAAATTGTAAATGTTGTTCTTTTTTCAGCGCTTTCCATGGACACTATCTTGTCGACTTTATGAATGGCATTATCTGTCCCCATAATATTGATCTGACCTGACTATCAGTGATATGTTTATAAAGGAACCAGCCATCCATGTGTGTGTGCTGTTTTAGCGTATGCCATGTTGAGCTTATTGTGGGTCGTTGTATCGAAACTTGCGCACATATGTGGTGCCGTCTGGCCGTGGGGTGCGGATCTCCAGCGTGGGTCTGGAGTTGGCGCCGCTACTGCCGTCTCTCACAGTTACTCTGTGGTTGCCAAGACGACCGCTTCGCCCGCTAATCTGTCCCTGGAAGCTCGACTGGTCTCTGGGGTTGAGGCGGTCAAAATGTCGCTGGGCGTCCTGGTAATTCCCCCGCCTGTTGTACTCTCGCGTCACGCGCGTGCCGCTTCTTGTGGGTCGCGGGGCTCTTCTGGAGCCACGGAAGATACCTCTCACTGCCGACGCCAGCCGCCCCCACCGCTTCTTCCTGGTAGATCCGGCCTCGTCGTCTTGGTGAGCGCTGGGTCGCTCCGCTTGGCGTGAAGTTGCCGCGCTGTCTTCGGCTGAGCGTGAAGTCGCCGCGCTGTCTTCGGCTGAGCGTGAAGTCGCCGCCGACGCCGCTCTCTCCTCCAACTGCTTTTTTAACACCAAAATGTCCAACTCCGAGACGATGGCGTTATCTACGTCATCCAGAAGCAGATAAAGTTCCTTAGGACTCAGATCTCCAAGCCGGATGCCTTCTACAACTGTATCTGGGTCATAGACACCGTCATCATCATCATCATTGGTTCCATTTTCGCCAACATCGCGGACAGTTTCGGTTGATAGGGTTTTGTCTAGGACCGGTTTTAAGCCAGTTTTGCGCCCAGAGAGGCCGGGTTCGGCACTGGTGACGATGAGTAGCGCACTGGCCAGTGCCAGGATGAGAAATCTTGCCCACATGGTGCTTTCTGCTCAAAGTCTGGGAGAGGGGAGAGAGAGAGAATAGAACAGGATGTGTTTCATGGTGAATACATAAACGCACACCCACACACACTTCAACACACCCGATTCTCTCTCTTTCTCTCTCTCTCTCACTCTCTCTCTCTCTCTCTCTCTCTCTCA